CTTATCGAAGTATCGATATAGAAAATCCAATCAAAATTGCCTTTTTAACTCTTATCTTTTCCATTCTATCGAACATATCTAATTTTGGTCGATTTTGCTTCTCTAGGCGTCCGATACTAAAAGACTTCTTTTTGAGAATTAGGATGTGAGTGTCTCTTCTTTATGAGTAACAACAATCACAGGTACACTCCATACCCAAACACTATTGACGAGCAGGACCAATAATTTTTGGCTCCAGTTCCAGTTCAGATCACAAAAAAAATTAGTTCCTGTCTTGGAACCATGTTGTCCATATCTAACAAACACTAATACTTCCAATTTCGGTTAATATATGTTTTTCACTGAATAAAAATGAGTATTCATCTACCAAAGACATCTTTATCGAATTCCGACTTCTATCGGCATAAATCGATTTTTTTTCTATGAGACTTTCTCGTTCTCCAATAGAATTAATGAAATACTGGACATGCGTGAATTTGGTAAAGATTTGAATAATTTTGAAGCAATTAACATAAAAATCTATTTAAGATAGATATAATGTTCTTCCTATATTTTTACTAAGCGTAGATAGGATTATAGATGAGATAGCTGAACGAAATTCGATTCGAATCCTAAACGTAGCATATAGAATAAATCACGAAAAATAATTTCTTTATCAAAATATTCATATGAATCCATTTTAGATTGACATATTCATATAATAAATCACATAACTCGAGTGAATTTCTCTTTTAAGACCAATGGCGACTGTAACTGAATCAAATCTATGTTCAATTTGTAATAAATCTTCAGCTAAATCCTTTTGTATTGGATGTAAAAAATACTTTTGTCGGAAGGATTTCAAAGAACATGAACAACAACTATTGGTAAAATTTGATAATGAAATAGTGAATTCACACAATGAACTTCTTGATCAAATACAAAAATTAGATAAATCGAATTGTTTGCCATTGGATCTTTTTAATGAAATTGATAAATGGAAAAAAATAACAATCGAAAAAATCGAAAAAGCAGCAGAAAATGCTTATTATGATCTCATTGAGTTAATCGATAAACAACGAACGGCAATAAGAAAAGAACTAGCATCAATAACAAAAGAAATTCATAGTCTTCGAGAAGAAGAAAATTTTGTTGAAACCGATATTGATCGACTTAGACAAAAAATCAATGAAATACAACAAAAAATCGAACAATTTACTCGAAACGATACAAATAAAAGCTTAATTATTGATAATAATCAAATTGATTGGAATCGAATTATCTACGTTCGAGACAAAAACCAAAATTGTGAGTATTTTGAACTAAACAAAAACTGAAAAAATAAAATTTTCGACAGATTCGATTGCACTTTTCATTTCATTTATCGATCGAACTGAATTCATTTATAGATCGGAGACAGTTCGAAAGATACATAATTTTCCAGGTCTTTATTCGCTAGATATGGAAATTTCACTGGATTTTTCAACAAAAAACTGATCTGCTCAGATAGCATGGAAAATCGACTTTCGAATTTCGACTTCAAATTTTGCATGAACAGAATTCTCTATGAGATTAATTCATTGAGAAAGTTTTAGCTTTTCTAGTGTTTCTTTTCTGGAAATGTAAGTATATGAACAAAATTTAATTTTATACATGAACGAATTTTAAATTTTTTAATATGTCAAGATAGAAGATACTAGAAACTTTAGGACTTTTCCAATGAACTACTTAGTTACACTGAAGAGTTTTTTCATGCAACTTTTTGAAGTCGCAAATCGAAAGTCATTTTTTCATGTGATCTGAGAGAGACCATAGGTTTTTTGCTGAAAACCCTATAACTCGAGGACGAAGATCTAGAAAACTAAATCAATCTAGTCTTTTCTATTATACTCTAGCTACCCTCGATTGAACATCATCTTAATCGAAAAGCGATTTGTCACCTGGAGAAGTTCTCTCGTAAAATTAATTTTCACGTTGCATAGTTCAGAACAGCTTTTGATTTATTCTTAGATTATGAAAATATTAGAACGTCGAATTATTTAACAAAATCTAATCGAATACAAGTGTTTTTTTTTCCTTTAAAAAATGACAAAACTTCGACGAGAATCAAAATATTACCAAGATCATATCTTTCCTCATCGACTTCAATTTTTCGAATTGTTTCTCATCAACAAAAACAAAAAAAAAAATTCCACTGTCAACAAGAAGAAGAATATCACATACAGATTGATTTGAAAAGACTAATTCTAAAATATGAATATTTCAACTAAAGTCTAAATAAAAAAATACATTTTCTTTTTGAAAGCCTAATAAATACTAAAACACGAATCATTGTTGAAGATTTTCATTTATCGAAAAATAATTTCCAAAATGAAATCATTTTAATCATTGATAAATATTTTGAAAAACGTATTCGAAATTCAAATTCATAATGAATTATTGAATGATGAACACATAAACGTAGAACTCAACGTTTCTATAAGGATCAAATGTTCGAATAACTATGTTTGTTTATTCTATAGGAAATACATTTAAAAATTGAATGATAAAACAAATCAAAAATAGTCTAAAATTTTGTTAATACTTAGTCGATTTCAATTGAGAATAAAAGACAATTTTCTTCGTGTATTTTTCTTTATAAGTAATTTGAGTCAGTAAATGAAAATACATAGTTTTAGAATATGGAACCTTTGAGTATTCATAGAATATAAATAAATACAAAAAGTAGACAAATTTTTCCTAAGATATCAATGGAAGATCG